GAATGACAAGAAGAACACCACACTTTGCAAGCAAGATTTTAGAATTGATAAGAAGGCAAAGACAACACCCTGCTGAGTCACAGAAATGATCTGTTACAGAGGAGGTTTGCCTTTTCTTCCAGGAATTTTTGTCAACTTTCCAGTCTAGCCTGGAGTCCTAGAATTAAGCCAGGTCAACAATTGTTAGCTTCCGGTTGCTCTGATGTCTGTAGTTATGACAACCTTTGAAAGGTTAGTGCTAGTCAACTTGAAAACTATCATGGGTCTGCTGTTAGACTCCTTGCAATTTGTCTACCAAACAAAGAGATCAGCATATGATGCTGTTAATATGGCACTGCACTATATCAACATCTTGAATCTCCAAGGACCCATGCAAGGTTTTTTTTTTTGTAGGCCTCAGTTTGGCATTCAATACTATCATTCCAGATATTCTTCTCACTAAACTGACTCAACTAGCTGTGCCTGACCACACCTGTAAGTGGATTGTAAGCTTTCTAATAGACAGGAAGTAGCAAGTGAAGCTAGGCAAAATCGGATACCTGTACAATTAGCACAGTTCCTCCTCAGGGCTGTGTGCTCTCTCCATTACTCTTCTCTCTATATACCAATGATTCATCTGTTAAAGTACTGAAGTTTTCAGGTGATACAATAGTCCTTGGTCTCATTTGAGATGATGATGAATCTGCATACAGATGGGAAGTTGAACAACTGGCCCTGTGGTGCATCCGGAACAATCATAAAGTGAACACACTCAAAACTGTAGAGATAATAATATATTTTAAGAAAAGCCCTCCTATTCTACCACCTCTTACAATACTAGACAACACAATATCAATATTAGAAACCACGTTTCTGGATTCTATAATCTCCCATCAAAAATGTCATTAAAAAGCATAATAAAGAATGTTTTTCCTACGCCAACTCAGAAAGCTCAGACTGCCCGAGGAGCTGCTGATATAGTTCTACAGAGGAATTACTGAGTCTATCATTTGCACATCTACAACTGTCTGGTTTGGCATAAAACCAAACAGGACAAACACAGACTTCAAAGAATAGTTAGGACTACAGATAAAACAATTGATACCAGCCTGCCTTCCACTGAGAACTTATATACTGCACGAGCCAGAAAGAGGGCTGTGAAAATATCTACAGACTCCTCACATCCTGGACATAAACTGTTTCAACTTCTTCTCTCAGGATGACACTATAAGGCATTGCACACCAGAACAACTAGACACAAGGACAGTTTTTCCCCCCATGCCATCACTCTGCTAAACAACTAATCCCAAAACATTGTTTATGCCTTAGGATATCAAACCACGTAATAGGGCTGTATTACTATTATTACTATTATCCTTCTCATCTTTCCTATTATCTATTCCTTTAGCAGCTTATGACTATCACTTTGTTGTTTGTATCTTATGATTTATATTGATTGCTTTTAGTATCTTATGACTATCACTGAGTATTGTACCTTACTATTTATGATAATTATATTATGTTCATGATTTATCACGCTGCTTGTATCCACTGAGAGCTTATGCACTGGAGACAAATTATTTGTGTGTCCAATCACACTTGGTCAATAAAGAATTTCTATTCTATTCTATTCTGTTCTGTTCTAATTCTATTCTATTCTATTCTATTCTATTCTATTCTATTCTATTCTATTCTATTCTATTCTATTCTAAAGATTATCTAAAGTTGGTTACTTGTTAACACCTACTTAAGCACTCCAAACCTGTTTTTATTTTATTTATTTGTGCTTTAGAGTCTGTACTGATTCCTGCAACTGCCTAGACAAGTTCCTGCAGTTCTTTCAGCAATTTCAGAAATGGTTTGCCCTTATCCCCTTCCTAGGGCTGAGAGAGAATGACGGCCCAAGGTTACCCAAGATATAATGATATACCTGTGCAGGTTTATCATTATATCCAAGATATAATGATAAACCTGCACAGTTGCTAAGATAACTATGTGGACATGTTTGTGAAATCATAGTCAACTCAAGGAAGCTCTTAAGCCTCTGTTGTGTAAATAGAAACTCAACATAGATAGACAAGAAAACTATATACAAGAAGAAGATTTATTTATTTATGACATTGGCATGGCCACCCAATTTAAATAGTTGTGATTCTGGACAATGTATACTAAAAAAAATTAAAATCATAACTACAAATAGATGCTCAGCAACCCACAAAATACATTAGAAGCCTCTACCTGGGAACTCCAAAGATAAGCAGTATGTCATGCTCTACTGAATATTACCTAAGAAGGAACATCAGCCTTATTTTTTGGCAGGTACTTCCATTGTGCTAAAAATTGATTCATTTCCACATTTCAGCATTATTTGCTAAATATTGTTTTCCCTATAGCTAAAGGAAAGGAATGATTAAAAACTAGAAGAATACTTTCAGCAGCGGGAGATATTGACACTATCTCTCCGCTTTCACGTCCCAAATAAACATATATATATTTAGAACATCAAAGGATTTTATTTCACAAGATGGTTTTCTTTTCACATGTGAAATTAAAATATAAATTCATTCAAAAGGTATTGAAGGTCTAATAAGAGATCAAAGGCTTGGATAGTCATAGTAATTTTCCTCCCTGTGGATCATTTAATGCTGAGGATTGCTGGTTATTGTCACAGAGCTTATATAAATTAGATTTGAAAAGATATTTGGAAACATACAATAGAGGCTATTGAATATTTAACTGTGGAAAAATACAAGCAGCACACCTTTTACAGTACTAACAGTATAAAGAAAGAATGAACATGTGATTATTTCAAATGCTACATCATGCATGACAATCAACTTTTACTGTGCCAAGCTGAATGCTTTTCTAGACTGCTTATGTCTGTGGAAAACTATGACTCAGTATCCAGCTCACATTTCTCTCCACGATTGCAAAATATTGATAATGGTCCTCTAGGTATGTATCTAGGCATGCAGGTTTGTTTTGGTTCTAGTCCTATCTTGGTCACAAAGCCAGCTTGATGACCTTGAGCTAATCACTTTCTCTCAGCCTAGGAGGGAGGCACTGGCAAACCAGTTCCAAAAAAACTTGCTAAAAAAACTGCAGGGAGTTGTCCAAGCAGTCTTTGGGATTTGAACAGGATTGCATGAAATACAGAGAGAGAAAAGGGGGAGAGTGAGAGCAAGGAAGGGGAGGGGAGGGGAGGGAGGGAGGGGGAGAGAGAGAGAGAGAGAGAGAGAGAATGAATCTGCTTTTTTGCATCAACCAAGTGTTGACCACTGGCTTGTTGCCCAAGCATGTTGTGGGGTGTGCGAGAGAGAGACTGGCCTAAAGTCACCCAGCCAGCTTTCATGCATAATGTGGGACTAGAATTCATTGTCTCCAGGTTTCAGTCTGGTGCCTTATCCACAAAATCAAATTGGCTCTCCCCCAGCTCCCCCCCCCTCTGTATATATGAATATATTTTAGATTGATAATTAATCCACAGTGTGCTAGTGCCCAATCACACCTACTACAGTATGTGTTACATACTAGTGCCTCTGAGAAAAACCCATTCTTCCTTCTGATTATATGAGTAATTTTCATCCCCCAGTGCCTTTCACAAGGCCCCTCTAATCTCTTATAATTATGGTGACCTTTTTTTCTTGGAAAAAAGTACAGGACAAACCTGCAAAAGGGGCAAATCTGAAAAAAGGTTTATAACAGTGAAAAAAAATTGTTTATATTTAAAACTTTTCTTTACAGAGGAAAATTCAACAGCTAATTCAAGAAAAAAAACTGTGCAAAACTCCTTATTCTAATATAAATATGTAAAATCAAAGCGTATGTATACATTTGTTTTAAAAAGACAATTCAATATCTGTATTTTTCGCATGACTGGGAAAGACTGCATTAAGTGATACCCTATATACTGTAAAAGTGAAATGACCAAAATAAAGGACAAATGTGAGCTTTTGAGAAGGAAATAAATCTAAAACACTACTTTCTGAAATACAGGGCTATCCTTTACAATAAAGGATATATGTCACTATACCTATCTTATACAGTTTAACTCTATAAATCCTCTCCCCCCCCCCCCGGCTGATTTCACCGGATAAGCCTATAAACGCGAGAACTCCACGCATCCGCTGGTCCCCGTTTAGCGAACTTCTCAGCCAAGCGGCGCCGGGCCAGATGTCAGCGAACCTGCAGGTGTGCGCTTCGACAGAAGGGGCAGTTGAGGCAGGGGCGGGGCGCTCTCATCGCGCGTGGCGGCCGGTGCAGGTGGCAGTTCCGAGCGTCGTTCGCCTTCCTGCCTTCGCGGACTGGGGAGCAACTGTCGGAAGGCGGGTGGGAGGAGTCGGTGTGCAGCGCAACCCGACGCAGCGCAGCCCAGAGACCCGGGCGGCCGTACAAGGCCCCGAGTCTGCGCCGCATCCCTGCAAGAACTAGGAAGGGAGGCAGAGAGAGAGGGAGAAAGAGAGAGGCGCTTGCCTCGCCTTTCCCAGTCCGGGGCAAGCGCAGGGCCGGTTTTGTCCAGAATCGCGCTGCGCATAGCGAGGATGGAGGAAACAGCCTTTCGACGAAACGGGAGCGGGAGACTGGCATGAAGCGATTGGAGCAAGAGTCAGATGGCGAGTCATCTGACCTGAAGTGCCCGTAATCTCGCTGCTTCTTTGGGGGTACTTTTCAGTGAGTATTTGAACCGGGACTCCGGAGAAAGCTTGGGTTGCATTTCATTTGCCCCGGTAGCTTTGGAGGCAGCGCTTCGGAGCGTGTGCCGGTTTGCCCTGTCGCTCCTGAAGTCGGAACAACACGCTCACTGCCGTTAGGAGTCTCCCAAGCCCGTTTCAGTTCGCCCTGCCCGCCGCCTCCCCCCGCCCCCCAACAAATTAGCTCCTGATTGAAAGGAGACCTCTTTGTGCTCGTCAGATGCAAAAGATCCTTGCTTGTTTTCTTCCCGGCAGACTCGTCTTTCTAGGTGGGAGTGTGCGTGCGTGTGTGTGTGTGTATGCGCGCGCGCCCGCGTGTGTTTTGTTTGTGTCTTGGATTCGTGGGCGGCGGTGACGTTATGCCGCTACATCTTCCAACTGTGATGCTTTGCTTACAAGTAGTTCTTGCAGCGGTTAGGGATAAGGAAGAAATTGGCAGCCCGCGGAGTTAATATGGGGAAGCAATGAACCCCCCCCCGCGCGCGCGCGCTTTCCTTTGGCCGATTTGGTCTGCCGGACTGAGTGGAGAACTCAACCTGAGCGAATAAACCCTCCTTTCCTTCAGCTTCGCCCTGACGGCTCCCGAGCAACTTACAGAATTCAGAATTCACAGGCGAAAACTGCAAGGAGGCTTTTCAATTACAGGCAGGCATGTTCGAGGAAATCCTTTCGAAGTATCGCTTGCATAATATGATTTACTGCTGCTCAGAGCTGTGATAATTTCTATCCAGAATAGTGTAAAAAAAGGACTTCTTGGATGACCCTGGTGGAGATGAGGAATGCAGCCTTGGTAGGAGTTTTGCCTTCGTCGTTCTTCCTTTTAGTTCATTAGCCACAGGAATGCCTCCTGACAAGTCCCTGCACTTTTCTTATCAAGATTTTAGAAGTGGCTTGTGATTGTCTTCTTCACAGAGCTGAGAGAGACTGCTGACACTTAGAACTCACAGTGTCCCGATTTCTAGCCCTGTGCCTTAGATGCTAAACTGGTAGTCTTGCATCTTAGTTGTTCATAGGGGCTTGGCAACTCAATGATGGGTGCATGGTGACAGGTAAAAGGTAAGCGTTAGTCCTTCCTTCCAGCAAAATCCACAGTTTAAAGTAACAATTGTAATGGCTACTAGTATGATTTGGGGAACAACTTACAGTCAATGAAATGACCTCAGCTGGTTAGGTATTCAACCTGGATCTGGAAATAAGTTGCCACCAAAGGAGTGGATTTGAGCTGGGAGAGCCAGCATCAGTTCATATGCTCCTGGTTTTTTTTTTTTTTTTTTGCTATCTGTATTAGAACTGAGTTGGTCCAAAGATCTAGCTCAGTGGTTCTCAATCTTCCTAATGCTGCGACCCCTGCGGGCAGGGACAGGAGGAGGGGCGGGGTTTTCCCTCTCCCTCCCTCCCTCTCTCTCTCTCTCTCTCTCTCTCTCTCTCTCTCTCTCTCTCTTTCTCTCTCTGGTGTGCGTGCTCCGCCTCCTCTCCTGCGGCTGGAGCGCGTGCCAGGCAGGCCGAGGATGCACGCGGGCCGTCGCCCAGCAACCGCCTCGGCCTGGGAGTGCCGTGCATGCATGGCGCCGCCCCCTGCATCGGCCGAGGCAGAGCTGGCGAGGCACCACCGCCTGCAATTTCATCATGTGGAGCGCCATACCTCCCCCTCGGCCTGCACGCCCACCCACCCTCGGTCACACCGCTCCATGCCATGGCTCTTCTGCGTCGTGATTGGCTGCCTCAGCAGCAGCAACAGCAGCAGGAGCCGCAGCACCCGCCACCTCGCCACCCTCTTGCTCCACGCGGCCCACCCATCCTCCTCCACCAGCACCCAGCCTTGCCGCCCAACCTCGCCAGACCCCAGTCTCGGCGCCAGCATGGACGGACCCACCACCTGGAGACAGATAGAGGAGCAGTGTCTCGGTTCCTAAGATCATCGGAAATATGTGTTTTCCGATGGTCTTAGGCGACCCCTGTGAAAGGGTCATTCGACCCCCAAAGGGGTCGCGACCCACAGGTTGAGAACCGCTGATCTAGCTCCTGAGGAAATGAATTCGGCTCCATCTTTACTGAATTTGGGGGTTTTAATGACCTGCAATGTTTGGGGATTTTGGAGGATTTTTTTTTAAATATTGTGTTGGGATATTACTCTTTTTTTTAAAAAAAGAATAATTAATTAAAGAATAATTTGGAGGTTACTTATGAATAGAAAATCAATGTATTAATTCTATTAGTTAAATACAGTTATAATGTTCCTCTTTTTTGCGATTGTAGAAAACTTCTGCTGTTTTTTTTTACTTACTTCTAGTAGTTTTTTGTTCTTTGTATATAATCTAAACCCGAGTTTCCTATTTTGTCCTGAATCTCTTATAGCTTCTTATTTATGACTTGTTATTTTAAATTTAATTTTTTAAAGTTGTTTAATTTTATACTGTCTTTTAAATTTTCCTTAGTGGCTTTTAAAGGCTTTGATAAAGGATAAACATATTTTAATTTTTTAAAATATGAAAATTTATTGTTGTCACATGGACAAAGAATGTTTGTTTATGCTTCTGGCATTGATTCCAGACAGTTTAGTGCCAAGTAATTCTTGTTGCTTACTCCCAATCTCTAGTGCAAAATGGACGAGCCTGAATGAAAATTCAGAAACAATCTTAATTTGAAGAGTTGAGATTGGAAAGTCATTAAAGACTGATGTGAATTGTTCTGGAAAATGAAGCTTGAACTGTTTGGGTACCTAATGCATAATTCATGTGAGAGCATGGAACACTACAAGAAAATGGATTCCTACTGTGCAGTAAATAAGTTTATTTGAATTATGTCTTGTCTTTTATTTTGTATGTTAAGGTGGTATACATACTGTAGAATTTTCCCCACAACCACAACCCATGATTTAGGGTGGTCTAGGGTAGTGTGACTGCTCCAAAGTCACCCAGGAAGCGTCTACATTTGAGGATAGACAAGGATATGGTTCCTGCTCTACTAATCAGCTTGGATTAGTTTTTGACTTCTCAGTGTAAACATAATTATTGATGGACAAAGTGGATTGTAGACATAGAATACATGAAGCTATATTCTATATTCTAATACTGTGTATCGAAATATTTGGTAAAGAATGCTGAGGTTTTGCCATGGCAAATCAATTGCTTTCTTGCTAGTGTGGGTCTGTGTTGAGGTAGGAGAGCTTGTGTTAAGGCATCAGGTTAGAATATGCGAGTGTATGAGTTCTAGTTATGCCTCAGGCAAAAAGCCAAAGACCTTGAGCCAGTCATTTTTCCTCAGCTCTAGGAAGCAGGCAAGAGCAAACCACTTCTGAAAACCTTGCCAGGATAACTGCAGAGATTAGTCCAGAGATTAGTCAACATGATAGAGAGATATAGATAAAGAGATATAGATAAATAATATGTTGGTTAGGATAGGATAGGATAGGATAGAATAGGATAGGCTAGGATAAGATAGATGATGATGATGATAATAATAATAATAATAATAATTATTATTATTATTATTATTATTATTATTATTATTATTATTATTATTCGCTATTAGTCAATTGCAAAAGGCGGCCTTACTTACATCGTGGTGACCAAAACTGGATGCAGTATTCCAAGTGTGGCCTTACCAAGGCATTGTAAAGTAGTATTAATACTTCACGTGATCTTGATTCTATCCCTCTATTAATGCAGCCCAGCACTGTGTTGGCTTTTTTGGCAACTGCAGCACACTGCTGGCTCATATTTAAGTGAATGTCCACTAGGACTCCGAGATCCCTCTCACAGTTACTACTATTGAGCAAGTGGTGGCGAACCTATGGCACGCGTGCCACAGGCGGCACACGGAGCCGTCTCTGCTGGCATGCGAGCCATTGCTGGGCTGAGCTGCTCCCTCCTCCTCTCTGCGCTTGTGCAGCTTTCCGCAGAGCTGCACATGCACAGTTTTCCACACATGCACAGTCTGGGAATAGGCAAGAGGCTATAAAGAGAGCAACTTTCAGCGGAAGCAAGCACGGAATGAGTTTGTTTGAGTCATCTGCCTACTTGTGTTTCTTTTCTGAGCTACATAGAGGAAGGTTGATTCCTTCTCAGCCGCAAGTGGTGCTGGGCTCTTCTTTACTTTCTGTTGCTGAAGTTTTCTCTGTTGAATTTTAGTGGCTGAATGATGAAATATTGACACAATTTCCCATCATGTTGAGTTTGTTTCTTACAGAATTATAAAAAAATATCCTAAAGTAAGCTGATTTTTAATATGATCAAACATCTAGGAAAAAACAAATCAAATGCTCCATCCTCAGTGTTAAATAGTGGCATTCATTTTCAAAATATTTCCCAACCCTGTTCACAGTCTTGGATTTGACTATTGAACAACACAACAGGTGTGTTGTTTTCATTTTCTGGCAAAGTGCAGCTCACTGATTACACAAGCTAAGGGTTCAGAAACAAAGTTATAGAGCTGAAAGAAATGCTAGCTAGATTGAAGGAAATATATGCAATCCTGTTTCCCCTTTTGGGGGTATAGAATACGAATTGACACACTTGTTGTATTCTCTGATCTGGAGACTCAGCTTGCAAAACTGAATCCATTGGGGCATTTTCATTTGCCTCCTGGTGACCCTACTAAACATTAAGCAAATTTTTACTGTATAAGAATAATGCTCTTTTTCACTCAAAAGGAGGAAAAAAGATACTAAGTCATAATAGCTGGAGATTGCCACCTATATTCAAAATGCAAATAGAGATGTAATTTATTGTTCTTAGATTGACATTTCCTCATAATATTAATCTTTTTTTAATTGTTGACTGTTTTTATATTATTGTTTTATAGATTTTTATTGTATGTCACCCAGAATCATGTTTTATATAATGAGCAGCCATATAAATAGGATGACTAAATAAATATTACCGTACTTTCCGGCGTATAAGATGACTTTTGAAAGCGTTGAAATCGGTGCCGAAGTCAGGGGTCGTCTTATACGCTGAGTCGTCTTATAAGCCGGAAATAATGGTATTTTCGGGCATATAAGATGACTTTCTAGGCATGTGACTCGGCGCCAAAATCGGGGGTCGTCTTATATGCCGGATCGCCTTATACGGCGGAATATATGGTATGTGTGTAAATATTTAGCACCTGGACATATGTGTCCTGATGTTGGAGAGCAACTGTCCCAGTTGGGAGGAAGGCTCAAGTAGGGAATTAGCCTGGACTCATTACATAAACACATGAGGGCAATGTCTGACCAAATACTCCACTCAGTATCAAGGATGTAGCTGTAGAGGTGGTCAACAGTATTAAGTATCTTGAGGTACAGATAACTAACAATCTGAATTGGTCTCTCCACACCTTATCCATAGTGAAGTGTGCAAACCAGCATCTGCACTTCCTGCATCAGATGAGAGACCACATCTCTTTCTTTCTGTCCTGGCCACTTTTTACAGAGGCACGATTGAGAGCATTTGCATTTTAACAAACTACATCACTGTCTAATTTGGTGGCAGCAGTGCCTCAGATAGAAAGTCCATACAGAGATTGGTAAGGACAGTGGAGAAGATCATAGGAAGCTTGCTTCCTGGTATTCAGGATGCTACTATGTGCTTAAAGCTCAAAGCATTATTAGAGACCCCAAGACCTATTATACAGTCTGTTTCTTTTACTCCCCTCTGGGAGGAGGTTTTGAAGTATTTCTAGCAGGACTACCTGATTTTGTAATAGTTTTTTTCCCTATGCCATCCATCTGGTAAACTTGCAAGATTTGTTTTTCTCACTATGCACATGTATACATAATCGGAACTAGACTGTTGTCTTTCTGTGTCATATAATATATGTGGGCATATGCATAATTCTGTATTTATTTATTTATTGATTGATTTTTGCATTATTTATGTTGTGTATATTGGAGGTGGTAACCCTTTGGGAGCTGTATGCAACAAAATTTCATTTTAATGTATGCCGATTAGCATACATTCAAAGTAACAATAAAGTTATTATTCTATTCTATTCTATTCTATTCTATTCTAAATTAAAATATTTATAAATGAAAAGAAGAAATAAAGGAAAGCATTCATTACTTGAATTCAAATTTATTTTTCTCCTAGAGCTATTTTAAAAGTTGGAGAAAAAAGTATTCCAGTTCCCAATTATAAAAGTAGAGAACTGGAAATTTTGGGAACAGTTTAAAAATTAAAAATGGATAAATTCTGAGCCATAAATATTAGCTTTTAGAATCTACTATAGCAGGAAAGAGAAGGGTAAATGATTATGACCTGTATTACTATCCCTCCTCCTAATTAGCATAATGATAGCATGAAAATGTATTGAATGGACATCGTTTGTACAAATATAGAACTCAATTCTTTTTATGTAAATGTTGATAATGTTCATTATTAAATAATTGTGCAGGAATGAAAAATCAACGTGTGTTTATTTAGAACCTCTATTGTAATGTTAAAAAAAGAAAAAAGTGTACTTGAAGAGATATTAAAAAAAACTAATTTTGTACACCAGACAGTGTCCTTTCCTGCCTGCTTTTTTTTTTTTTTTTTTTGCATTTGAGTTACCAGGCAACTTGCATACAAATGCTGTTGTTTGTGACTGAGGCTGAAATACATGCCCTGTAAACTGAATATAGCTTTTCAGCAAAATGCTACACCCACACAGAAAAGAAGAGAATAGAAGCTTTGTGGAAGTGGAACAGTAAATGCTGACCAAGGATTTTTCCTTCTGTAATGTTAATTGCCTATTGCTTTGTTCGACATTGGCACATGACAGCTGAAATTAGACAAGTTCTTATTTTCTAATACTGTAGCCTGGAATCTGGCATGAAGGAATCTGTGAGTTTTGTTAACTTTCTCTTATTTTTTATTTATTAAAAAGTTTATTTATACTGACATTAGGATGCTTATTATTAATTATTGTTGTTTACTATTGTTACCATAATTGAAGTTTGCGTAACTGGAAAATTCATTTTGCTGGTCCAGAAATTACAGAACAAAAAGCATAATAAATTTTGTATGCTTCAAGAATAAATAAAATATTTCATGGAAAGAAAGAGAGAGGGAGGGAGGGAGGGAGGGAAGGAAGGAAGGAAGGAAGGAAGGAAGGAAGGAAGGAAGGAAGGAAGGAAGGAAGGATGGATATACCTGGAATTCTGTTAGTTGAGATGAAACTGAGATACATTGATTTACTGCAAGGTGGAAGAAGTTGCACCTGTTGATAGACTCCAGATTTCTTCAGCCTACTGAGGATAGCTAGAGTCAAGTTGAGAGGAGGAGTTCAAAGCCAATTACATATGAAGAAACACATCTTACCCATCACTAGGCTATGGAAGTATAGGGATCTGATAATGTATAAACATTCTAGATTTTATTGAGAAATACATGTTTGATGACCAGTTTGAACAAATATTTGGTATGCAGTGTAATTTAGTAAAAAGTGAAGTCTCAGTCAAATTGAGCTTGACTTACATGGACACATCTGTTCAGTGTTCTTGTCATTATGCATTGCCTTCTTGCAGGACTTTTTCCCCCTGACTTCCTACTCTTGCCCAAAGTGGTTTTCCATTCAAGTGCTAGCTAGGCTATTCCTTTGTAGCTTTCTGGATTGGTTAAAGTCTGCCGGGTGGTGTCACTGCTGATTCAATAGTTATAGAAAGTACTGTATAACAGAAAAATGTTTCTGTTCTAAGTTATTAGCTGTAAGAAAAGACTAAAGATAAGTTAGGTTGGCATAAGGAAAAAAATAGATAATGGATGTTGATTAATAGACGTTTTTGCTCAGAAAACAGAAAACTATTAAAAACATAGAGTGGAACTATATTAATATATTACTTCAATGTCCCTCCACCAGTGTGCTGTGATTAGAAAACTAGGGTAAAATGATTCCCTCTGATTAGAAGCAAGGTATCATGGTACAAAGCCAGCTGGGTGACTTTGGGCAATGGGCCAGTCACTTTCTCTTGGCCCAACCCACCTCACTGGGTTGTTGTAAGAAAAATAAGAAGAGAAAAGTGGGTTGGATATGTTTGCTCCTTGAGTAATTTGTAAAAATAATAAAGGTGAGATAAAAACAAACTAATAAATCATTCTGTCTCTCTTTTTTTTTTTTTTTACCTTACCCTGGTGTCTTCCTTTGGTGAAATCTTGGATCAGAATGCTACACCTTTGCGGTCTGGTCTGTTTTTTTATCTGTATCCAAATTGTTAATTAAATTTGGACATCTCTCTGAAACAAGCCATTACACTTAGCTACACATTTAGTGCATTTATTTATTTATTTATTTATGCACTACACTTAGCTAAGTGTAATGCATAAATAAATAAATAAATAAATGCACTAAATGTAATGTGCAGGAGCATTTAACTGATGTTTCTTCAATGTTTCATCTACTGTTTTGTTAGTAATGAGAGTACAAAAGAGGGCAAGGAGAAAAATGGGAACTCCTTGATTTCAGTCTATCTATGATTCTATTGTAAAGCTAACTGTATATAATTTGTTTCATCACACTCATATTTTGATAATATAAAGAGCCTCATAAGTACATGAGAGAAAGAGAAAAAGAGACAGAGGGATGGCCCTTAAAATAAACGCTGTAAAACAGTATCTGATTTTTTTAAACTCAGCTTTCAATTAGATTTAACATGACTATTAAAATTCTTCCTGGCATTTTTTTAATTTGAAGGGAGAAGAGTGTAGCAGATGCAATCCTCTTAATCTGTATTTGAATGCAAGTTTTCCCAACACTTTAGGAACTTTTAACATGTGATCAAAATTACATCCTCTGGGCCAACCTCAGTATCTTCCCATACTTGTATTTAGTAATTGGGTGTTTTTGTTTCGTTAACATCCGGCATGAACCAAATGAACTCAGAGGAGAATAATCCAGGCAAAAATTGTCCCATATGCTGTTATCCAAGAAGAATCTCTCATGGGGGCCAGTAAGTTTTCATGTGTGTATATAGGTATGTAGGAAGATACTAATAGTAAATGGAAGAGATATAGGAAGTTGGGAGGAAGGAGTTGAGCTGAGCTGTCCCACTCAAGTGTTACTGTCCTGATGAAATTGAGGACCATTTGCATCTATTAAGGATAGAAAATAGCATTGTTTCCCAAGCTCATTTATTACAGTATCATCTAATTTCTTTTTTAGTGCTGAATGAATGAAATTGGCTATATGGAAGAGGATCAGTATTACAAAGCCAGAAAACAAATGGATATAAGAAAAATCATTGTGGGATTTCCTTTAATGTGTGCAAGTAGTATATGCTGAACTTTAAGACATGAAAATAGAAAATCAGGCTAGGAGGATAATATCACTTGTCTTGGAATAACTGAAAGTAATCTGAGTTATTTGTATTGAAGACCTTTTTAATTGGGAATGGTGAGTTACACTGTGATTGGAATAGAGTAGGTAGTCTTTTCTCATTTTAAGATGGAATGCTTTTACGGAAATCTAATAATGAGATACTATTCAAAAAGTGAATGTTTCAGAAAGGAACTTCCAGAGACTGAGGTCAGTGTAAAAAGCACTGAGATATTAGCAGTAATATAAAATTCAAGAACAAGAATATCACACAACGATATGATCAGAAGAAATATTCTTATTTTCCAAACAACGAACTTATTTCTCTTAAGTATTCCTCATGGTTTTATGAGATATGTCCATACCATCTAACATTGTGCTTAAAACATAACCGTTAGAAATGCAAGAATCCATCCTCCATGCTTGTCACTGAGATATCTGCACAGCTATCATTTTTTGTTTCTGAGACTGTCACATTAGTCACTGCTCCAGTCATTACTGACTCTGAGATTCAATACACGGTAGTAACCTATGCACGTTTCGTAAATAGGGAATTTTTGAAAAGTAATTGAAGCAGTAGTTGGACCCAGGATGTTGAATTCTGCAGTGATTTACTTGTACTGAATGTATTAATCTTGAGATTTCAATCTTCATATGTTGTTTAACTTGTTCTTGACATGTAGGGATGCAGCATTATTTTGGATACATATTACATAATTACCACTATAATACCACTATAATTATTATGTAAGACTGGGACAATGATGATATAACATCGTATTTTCTTATGGAAGTAATTTTTGGAGATAGAGATGGAAATAATTTGGGGCTACTGTGTTTAATGACACTTACTCGACTATTTCTCTGGCATTATTTTCTGATGGAAATAATTTCAGTATACATGCTGTTTTTTTCCTGAATCAAAATTTAGGAACAATAAGCTGCAGTGCTTTTTTTTTTTTTTCTTGTGCAACAGTGACAAATGTAAATGGTAGTGGGTTTTTTGAATTTTTTTTCTTAAAACTTTGCTGTGGGCTTCAAATTATACACTTCCCAACTACAGTAATTTCACAATGGTTGTAATATATCCAAATATTCTTTTCAGAATCAAGTGACTTTAAAAAAATGGAATAACAATGCTAATTTTGATTAATAAGTGGAAAACAACTTGTATTGCGAAAAGCAAGGAAGGCAGCTTGACTGTTCAATTAGATCCATTTATGTTCATTTATGATATAGGTCTATAATACAACACAACATGAAAGAGACCACTATGGATCAAGCATCATTTCTTTCTTTTTCTTTTTTTAAATGAAAGCTAGGAATGCAATTTTTGAATCCTAATTGAGTCCCATCAAACCATCTTTATTGTCATCTTCTTTCTCCAGTTGTTTGTCCAAAGGGCTTAATTTGGATAGTTTTTCTAAACAGGGTAACATATAGAGATTGTAAATATTTGCCTCTTTGTATTCTTCATTTCCCTTCTTATTAATCATGTTCATGTTCTTATCACTTTAGGAAACATTTAAATGATGACGGCTATTCTGGAACGGATCAGCACTTTGTCCATCAGTGGACAACAACTCCGTCGACTTCCTCAGCTCTTGGAAGAAGGCTTTCCCAAGATGCCTTGCACAGTTAAAGAATCTGATGTGCCCCAACTTTTCAGGGAGCCTTATATCCAAGCTGGCTATCGCCCCATAGGTCAGGATTGGCGCTATTATTTCCTCAGCCTCTTCCAAAAACATAATGAGGTTGTTAATGTCTGGACTCACCTTCTGGCTGCTTTGGCAGTGCTGCTGAGATTTAATGTTTTTGCTGAAGCAGAGGGCTTATCTCTGGAGATCCGCTCCTTACCTCTCTTCATCTTTGTCCTTTCCTCTGTTACATATCTGACATGCAGCCTCTTAGCTCATCTCTTGCAGTCCAAGTCAGAGATATCACACTATAGTTTCTATTTTGTGGATTATGTTGGCGTCAGCATCTACCAATACGGAAGTGCCCTGGCCCATTTCTACTACAGCTCTGACCAAGCCTGGTATGACAAATTTTGGCTTTTCTTCTTGCCAGCAGCTGCTTTCTGTGGGTGGCTGTCATGTGCTGGCTGTTGCTATGCCAAGTACCGCTACCGGCGCCCATATCCCATCATGAGGAAAGTATGTCAAGTGATCCCAGCGGGGTTGGCATTCATCTTGGACATCAGTCCTGTGGCTCACCGTGTGATTATGTGCCACCTTGAAGGCTGTGAGGAGTTGGCTGCTTGGTACCACACCTTCCAGATACTTTTCTTCCTAGTCAGTGCTTATTTCTTCTCTTGTCCAGTTCCTGAAAAATATTTCCCTGGGTCCTGTGATATTGTTGGTCATGCCCACCAAATTTTTCACACATTCCTTGCTATTTGCACGCTCTCACAATTGGAAGCCATCTTCTTGGATTACAAGAACAGTCAAGATATCTTATTCAGGCGACATGGATCTCTTTCCATCATCCTGTCTTGTGGCTCTTTTTTTGGCTTAGTTGCTTGCAGTGCTGTCACTGCACTCCTACTGCAGCGCAAAATCAAGGAGGAACTGGCCATAAAGGCATCTTGAGAGACTGACATAGAAACAGGGTTCAGTCCTGATGTGCTTGAAGAAAACTAGGAAGAGGGAAGTTTACTCAAGTACTGTATATAAGTAAATTAACCAAGTGGTTTTCCTCTATAAATTATAATCAAGGAATTGATTACAGGTCAACACTAATTTATTATACCTGCCTTATGCCCTAAACATTTTTACTAACTGTACCTATTGCTGGGCAAAGGGCATTTAGAATACTTAATTGAAGAGTTATAAAGGCAGATTTTTCTAAATGGTCTTACTCTTACTTATTTATAGAAATTTGTATTATGTGAAAGAGGATACTGTAACTAACTAGAAGAGTAGACTATTGCCATTGACTTGCACATCTGTAAAGCTCTTATCTCATTGGTAAAGGAACTGTGTGGGTTATATTACTTCAGAATATAAATGGGGATGGGGTCACATAAGAGAGAAAAAGATTCCTTAACACATTGGGTCAAAGTCCTTAGTTTACTAGTTTATATGTAGGGATTTTTTTTTCATGTTAAATCATAAGACTCATTACTTGCAATCTGAAATGATATAGAGTAGTCATGTTTATGACTTCAGAGATGATTAAAACAAAGCTTATGGAGAAGGTTGACATAATGCTGATAGTCTTGTTCAGTTGGTTTCATTTTATCTGTGACCTTGAAACCACTGGTACCTATACAGCTCAAGTAGTGCTGATTCTTCCCCCAAGTTATAAGCTTCAGAAATAGTATGGTGGTAGAATACCATTCATAATTTGATAGCTGTCACCTGTTTATCATTCAAGCCCAGGTTAGCTGAAGCAAAGAAGGGTAGGATTCTCAAAGGTAGCAGAAGTTAATAGCCCTACTATTCCCTTTGTATACATGCAAAGGTTTTTGCAGTGCAAACAGTTGTTCTCCTTTGGATAACTATCTCTCCACTGAGGTTAGTAGTGATCAAGCAGAACAGGAGATGTTTGTTGCCTTTAAGGTGATGTTTTGTGCTTTCTCAATGAATCTACAACATATTTTCAGAAGAGTTGAAGCCTCCTCAGATCTTAGTACTTCAATTTCCTTCAAGTAAGTTGTGCTATAAAGTTATCTACAAATTTAGATAATCCCTTTTCAATGCTGGGAATCTGCCCTGCTTTGTGCCCTGCCCAGTTCCTGACATTCCCCCCACAATCTCACACACACACACACACACACACACACACATCACATTCCAGATTATTTGCATCTTTCCTATTCTAAGATATTTCAGGTAGGACTGCAGCTTCCCTCTGTGCCTCCTGAAGAATTTTGGGATATCAAAAACAGGAAGAGGAGTACAACTATCAATGGAATAAAATAAAGCTTCAGGAAAATCAATCAGGATTTCTCCTGAAAGAAATTAAAGGCCACCGGTTGGTCTGCTAAGCATGCTATTTTACCATTTTAACACTGATTAGCATCTATGACTATAAATATATCTAGTGTTTTTCATGTTTGTTGTCCATAAAGACTCTATTCTTCCTAATTCATTTCTGCATGCCTTCACTCATATTTTTGGCAAAATGTTAGTTTTCCTGGTCCCTTCTGGATTTTAGATATCATGTCATTCAAACAAATCCATTCGAGACTTTTACAACCTGAATGCTATTCTGGCAACCAAGATAAGAGTACAGTATTTCTTCCCTGTTTGAGCACCAAGTTAAATAATTAAAGAAGGATCGGTTTTATTGTAAAAAAGTATTATATGAATAAGTACCATGCCATTGTACCAACAGCACATTTTCCTAACCACAGTTTTATTTGTCTTCTCATCAGTAGGAGTCCAGTTGAGTTGTGCTTTGAGTCTTGTGTGGCTTTTAACTTCTGAACTTCTATTTCCTTTCTTCCAAACACAAACAGCATACTCAAACAGAAACTGCAGCTGTAGAATGTTTTATTTATTAATGTTTCCTGTGAAATGTTATTTGCACATAGCACACTAGCATATAATTGAAAGATGTGTGCCAAACTTGGTTTTTGATGATGCTGGGAAGTGGGAATCATTTTGCATTAGTAGACAGTCATAACAATGGATAACCCCATTTGCAGTCTGGCAATGGTACACTCAGAATTCTAATTACAGTTTCCCATCTTATTCTCCTTAATATGCAGTATATCAGTTGTATTCAAGATGGCCAGATTTATACCTATTCAAATTTTGGTGAAAGTAGTTAACATACAAAGACAAGTACAGTCCAAGATGGTTTCAAAAACCATTAATAATAGTTGAGTCACAAGAAATTTAAGCCATTTTCTGCCAACATAAACACTGAAAAATTTTGTTTAAAATATATAAACTATTGGAAGAAAATAAATAATTCCATCAATTAAATCTGATGGACTGTATGAAAATTCTTAGTGAGTTTATATCACCATCTAGTGGCATAATCTACTAAGATTTTTCTAATAGTTGGGATGGCTTTGAGAATTTTAATTACGTTGTTACTCAGCAGAAATACTTTTCATTAAGATGTTTCTAACTAAATAAATAGATTATGATTATTTTTTGTAAAACATACATTATTCTTACTGTGAACTAAGTTGCATTATTTTCTGTGATTTCATAAGTGATATCTTTGTTTCACAGCAATTTTCATTGAACATGTATTTCATGCCTGTAACTTGGTTGCTTACATGACATTAAAATTTTTAAGCTACTTCAATTTAATGCATTGTAAAATGTGTACTACAATCAGCATTAGTCAAGCTGCAGGCATCCCTCAAACAATTTTAAATCTGTAAGCACTCTTAGAAAGTATGGTTGGTTATTTTAAAAAAAAGTACAGTGTACTAAGTTTCTTGAAATTGTTCTTCAGACTCTTTCATATATCTGCCTCTGATAATTCCCAGATCCTTTTACTGCTAGTTCTTTATATACACAAAATGTTGCATTTAGGATTGATGAATCCAAGTGAATGTGTTGTTATTAAAAAAAATGTGATGCACAAAAGGATTGTTTTTAGCACATATTTCAAAGAGTTGGTTCAGAATGTATAGGAAGGGCACCTTTTCAAACAGTTAAGGCAGCCTGTGGTGGTCTCCCATGGAGAATGAGACACGCAGACAGGTATCTCGGGATGAGAGCCCAGAGCTGACTCCAGCACCCTCTTTTATTGTTACTAAGGTTTTTACATCACACAGCATAAACAAAAGACGTATATAGGGGTGGTTACAATGTATCAAATAACAGACACTCTCCAGATACAAGGCTACTGCAGGTGTTCTTATCAGAGTCTGTCCAAAAGGCTGATGAATGTATCCTGTGTCTGAAACAGTTATCTCAGGCCCTTGTGGGAGATGCCCATGGATAGATGCCCATGGACATTTGTGCAATTAGTCCCACATCTCCTGCTTTTCTGTTTTTTCAATGTTACTCACTTCCAGTTCCAGAAGGGATCTTGATTCACTGATTAAGGCGTCCTTCCTAGTGGAGGGCGTAACATTTTTGCACATTTGCAGGAGGGAGGGAATACATTGAATGCAACAACATAGCAATACAAATAATATCAAAATGGTTACTATAATAGAAATCAAAGATCGTAGCCAGGATCCATCCGGTAGCCAGGACCAAAGGGCACCCCAAATATCCACGGTGCCTGATCCATCGCTGCGTAAGGGATTATTTTGGAGCAAAGATTCCATTTTTCTAGCTGTAGCAGAAATATTAGGTTGAAAATCATGTATATACATACAACAATGAGAATGAATTAAAGCACATACACCGCCTTTTGCTGCTAAAATAATATCTAAAGCATACCGATTTTGCAAAACTACTTCCCTTATTTCCCCCATTTCTTGATTAATCATTTTAATGCTGTTAATTGTTTCATTAAACATATGAACAGTCCAATTGTTAAGCAAATGAAGGTCTCTATAGTTCATGGCAACTCCTAGATTGGGTAGAATCCCTCTGCTGATTTGAGTCTCTAAACTACCACCCAATGTTAGGGGTGGATCCGAGGAACCAGTATCACGTTTGTTCCGCAGGCGTCCATCAGGGAGATGAGGCAAAGCATATACAGCAGGAGTCAAAAGGCCCAATGTACAGGTGCCTTTCCAATCCTTAGGCACCTGGCGATAGGCTCTACGGCCACATAGTAGCCACATATCGGGTAACTCATAATAACCCTGGTGAGACTCATTAGCAAATGTTATTATGGATTCCATGTCAAGGCAAGCCATGTAGGTACTGATGTTTGTCCATTGATTGCTTTGATAAGTGTCATTTACCTTAGTAAGGTTGCTTTTGATGGATTTGCATCTCTTTGCTGAATTCCATATAATAACTTGTTGACAATTACTATAAGTTCCCAAATAAATGGCAGTACGGAATAGTCCTGTGCTATAAAAACAAAATCTGGCAGGTTCCATTATACGAGCACCCACAGCATATGTCATATTCAATGTCTCTGTAGTTATGCTCCACTGCTGCTTCCATCCTGTTTCATTGAACGGGATGGCATGGAAAATAAGGCCACCACGACTGTCACCAGGAATTTGCATGCAGATCCAACAGTTCGTGACGTTAAGTGTAAGAGCAGTGCGCCTGGCATCCCATACAAAAGCATTAAAAGCCCACAGTCCCTGATCCTCATATGCCTGGCTGAGGTGGTGTACGTTGAGCCATATAAGGACGAACACAACGAGCTGGAGTCCAAATGATCTCGCCATGGTCGTCTATTGCAGCATAGCCTCGACCCCAAGTAATGAGGGAGGCAGGCCCTTTCCAGGTGGGATCAGGCAAACGTCGATAGTATACCTGGGGGCGTGAAGAATCTGTGGGAGAAGCAGAAAAATGCCTGCTTGCGGCAGTTGAGCCAGGGGTGCCAGAAACATTCAAAAAGTTTAAGGTAAAAAGTACAAGATTAAGAGTGTTTTGTATCCCAGGCAAGCCGGGGGTATTTTCCCCTTTCTTTTTTGCATGCATGTCTTCTTTTGGATTGCCCAGGATAGAAAAGATACGAATACAATGATTAATAACATGTTTAGCAGACTCACCCCTTTGAGGGGTGGCCATAATAAAACCTGAATAGGTGTCAATGGAAACATGCAAGTATTTCCAAGGGGCAAATGGCAAATATTGTGTAACATCCATTTGCCAAAGTTGACAGCTCTGCGTCCCTCTTGGGTTGACCCCTTGGGGAACAGAGTGTGCTTGGAGGCTGCAGGTGGGACATTGTTGTATGATAGCCGCAGCCTCCGTAGCTGTTAAAGAAAATTGTTTCATTAAAGCCTTCTTATTTTGATGAAAATATGAATGGCTGTCCCATGGGGTTATGGGAGATAAACAAGGACAGAAACGTCCTGGTGAGTGGAGGCAGCCGAAGCGGCAGCATCCGCCTTGGCATTGCCTTCGGAGATAATACCAGGGAAAGGTTGGTGACTTCTAATATGAGCAGGAAAAAAACAAGTAGAGCGGGAATGAAGAAGGGATTGAAGTGTGAGAAAGAGACTGAGGAGAGAGTCATCCAGTGAGGGTGACACATATGAATCAGATAAAGAGGTGAGAACTTTATATACATAAAGACTATCTAAAATAAGATTAAAAGGTTCAGAAGAAAAAGTTTGTAAGGCCAATATTGTAGCAGCAAGTTCAGCACGCTGAGCAGAAGTTTGAGGAGGAGTAATTTTTGTGTGCCATTGTTCACTCTCCTTCCATACACATGAACCATAAGTCTTGCTACCATCAACATACAGGGTGACAGCGTTAGGAATGGGAGAGGAGGAAATGGGAGAATGCAGAGAAATTGAAACATTATTAAGGAGTTGGAAGCAAGGGTCAGAGGGAATATGACAGGAAACAGATCCTGCCCAGTCAGCAAAAGAAAGTTGCCATACATCTGAAGAGTGTAATTGAAGCAAGTGCCTTGGGGTTGATTCCCCTTTTGGATTGCAGCTGCAAGAGTGTCCATTTGAAAAGCATTGGTTCCCACAATGCGACAGGCTTTAAGAAAGTCTGCCAGAGTGGCCGTGGGACTGGAAACAATTGGTTTAAGAATGGACTGGCAGTCTGCATTTGCATATTCATAAGCCAATTTTATGAGGATTTCATTTGCTGCATCTCTGTTTGAAATTTGATGCTCAATGGCAACTTGCAGGCAATTCACAAAGTCTGCATAGGATTCAGTTGCAGTCTGGCGAATGGCAGAAAAAGATTGAATCGGGGTGCCAGACTCATCAACACAAGCCATGGCAGAAAGAACACAAGCATTAATGATAGGAAATGCAAAGGGAGTAAAAGTTTGAGCTTGAGCATTAAGGGTAGTAAAATTGCCTTCTCCAAAGAGTTGTTCTGCTGTGTATTGTGAACCTGGGTGATTAGCTCTCTTTTGTGCCTCTCTTTTATATTCAGATTCAAAGACTATATATTGTGTTCCGTTAAGAAGCATGCGGAACAGATCTTTCCAATCTTGAGGCAACATTCTATATGCACTAGCAATTGAATGTATTAGTCCTCTAGTATAGGGACTGGTTATGCCATAATCTTTTGTAGCCTTTTTCAATTCTCTGATCATAGCCAGGGGAAGTGCCTCCCAACCCACTATTAACCCTTTAGCAGTCTGTTGGTAATTAACAGGGAACAACTCTGTCTCGGATAGTTCAGAAACGCTTAAATCACCATTATTTAAAGCCTTTTGAAAAGCACCACGCATGATTCCAGGAGAGAGAGAGAGAGAGGAGAGAGGAGGCAACGTGGCAGGAACAGGAGAGGTTGTTTGCTGTTTATCAGAATCCATAAAATTTGCAGGGACAGAAGGGTTAAAACCAGCTCCAGGGGTTAAGGGAGTGGCCAACATAACAGACGGATTTTTATACGGTGGAGGATCTAATAAAGGCTGATGAGGCAATTCAGCATAGGTTTGAATCAAAGTATAGGCAATTTTCCAAAGGCATAAAATCTCTGGGGGGGTTCTCGGAGACTGGTGGAGAATAGTACCAATTTTCCTCCATGTATCTATTTTTAAAGATCCAGACTCCGGATAGGATGAGCAGTTAGCCCAAACGTAAGCAAGCAATTTGACAGCCTCAGATTTAGAAAGGTGACGGGTTAATTTCTGTTCCTGATCAGTAAGATATTTTTTCCTGCCAAGTAGCCTCAGCTCTTCCACATGCTGCTTTTGAGCGTGAGACATTCCACCCCCCCATACTTACGAAGAGGAGTCAGTTGCCAGCAACTTCGTCGGGTGCACCAAGCCTATTCCAGGCGATAAGTAAAGGGTTGGCAGGGACGTATCCTTCAGTGGATCACGTCGGGGTCACCAGATGTGGTGGTCTCCCATGGAAAATGAGACACGCACGCAGGTATCTCGGGATGAGAGCCCAGAGCTGACTCCAGCACCCTCTTTTATTGTTACTAAGGTTTTTACATCACACAGCATAATCAAAAGACGTATATAGGGGTGGTTACAATGTATCAAATAACAGACACTCTCCAGATACAAGGCTACTGCAGGTGTTCTTATCAGAGTCTGTCCAAAAGGCTGATGAATGTATCCTGTGTCTGAAACAGTTATCTCAGGCCCTTGTGGGAGATGCCCATGGATAGATGCCCATGGACATTTGCGCAATTAGTCCCACAGCAGCCATGTCTTTTTCAGGTTCATTCAGCTATTTCAGGCTAATCTTGACTGATTTTGCATACTTATGCTCAGGGCTTTTTTTC